ATTTAAATGTGAAAAATAAGAACTTAAAAGCCTGATATGTCTCCTTTAAATAAAACAATTCTTGATATTAATATTTATTGACATTTTTTAACTTATAAAGACATTTCTGCACTTTTTATTCCATTTTTACCTAACTAAAAGTAAAACCTTAGAACAGAATGGGCCAAATGAAGGGCTCAGGTAAAGGAATATTGGTACAGCACACTTACGAAGCATAAGAAATGCCAACACACACACACACACATCAGGAGAGCATTAGGAGATCAAGAGAGAGGCACAACCTTGTTATTTGCTGCAGACATACTTGTGCAGTTACACCCTTTAATATGCGAGTGTCTGCACTTCTTTCACTGCTTCCTTTTTACTCTTTCCCATTTTTTTATCCATCTGTGCAGGTGCTTGTTTAAAAGGAAGCAGTTTCTCTTTTTTGTGTTTTAAAGGACTGTTTTGTGTCGGTTTTGCTTCCTGCATCGACTCAGAAAACGTCCTTCCTTTCTGTTATTAAATTGGTTTAAATCCTTCCTCCTCTTCATGAGCTCTTTAATTCAGGGATTGCTGTGTGTATTTTCACATTGTATTACTTCATTTGCTGAATAGTTTAATTCTACCATGCATCTGTGGCAAACATTTAGTGAGGACAAGCCTGAATAGACATAGAAACACTTTTATTGAGGGTGGCACTGTTGAGTGTTTTTAAAAGATTCAATGATTTGTTTTATTCATGATTTCATTGAGTTCTGATCTTACAAGATTTTGGGATTTTTGGTTGGGGAAGTGTTTTCACTGTATTGTGGAAAAGCAAGACATTGTTTTCTATTGTTGATATTTTTGTTATTTTCTGGTCAGTACGGTGGTGGGATAATCGACATGGTTGCGTCACAGCTGAACAGTTTGCGTGTTCTCACTGTGCCGGTGTGAGTTTTTCTAAGTCTCTGGGTTTCCTGGAACAAACTAAAAATATCACCTTGATTTGGCCACGGGGCCAGTTGGTAGAGCTGATAACTCTCAGCAAGCAGGTTGCCTGTGGACCTTTTCTGGGTGGAGTTTKCATGTTCTTGCCGTGCATGTGTGGGTTTTCTCCAGGCGCTCCGGTTTCCTCCCACAGACCAAAAACATGACTCTGCGTTTCCATTGACCATGAAAATACACAAATTAGAATTTTGAAAAAAAATTTGCTCAATGGAAACACGCCAGTTTCGAAAAAAAGTTATGTTTTTCGACAAAATGTTTTTGCGCTAGGATGAGGTGGTTTTTCGGTTGTATCGAAATTGGTGTTTTTCGCAAAACTGCAATGGAAACACTTTTTTCGCATCACGGGAGTCACGTGATCAACAACCAGCTGTTTCTACTGGCAAAAAAGACGATGACGAAGAAGATAACAGGAAGTAGAAGTAGTAGTAATATCACAGAAGTAGWAAAATAAAGTAGTAAACTCACCGACTACAATTTCCCAAAAACACAGCATACGTAGCCGCTCCCAAGTAGGGACTTGTCTCTGGAAAACCTCAATAAAAGACGCCGACGTCTCCTCTGATGATGAGCGCTAGTGTCGTGGTAGCAACATGCTATGTGTTTACATCCATCGCCGTCATGTTTGTAATGACTTATCGTGAGAACAAACGTATTCACGCATGACTAATAGCATTTCTTACTTAATGGAAACACTGCAGTTRCGAAACTGTGTTTTTCGACATTAGCAGAATATCGACAAAGTTTTGCGCACATTTGCAATGGAAACGCAGCTAGATTTAGGCTAATTGGTTGAGAGAATGATTGGTTGTTTGTCTCTACGTGGTCCTGTGGTGGACTTGAGACCTGTCCAGGGTGCAGCCCGCCCCTCACACTGCTGGATATGGGCACCAGTGACCCCTCCCTGAAAGGAAGAAACAGGTATAGATAATGGATTTGGGTGTATTAGTTATTGTGCTGTGGGGGTTAAATTCGTGCAAACCTAGTGAAGGACTGTGTAATACGTTTGTACATCTTTGCCTGAGAGCTAGAAGAGAATTCACTCCCAGTATGCCCTTTAACAATAGATACCAGCTAGTGGAAAGGATTAAATAAATGAAAAAAAAAGAGAAAATTAATTATGATTGACTTAACCTTTCCTAAGACAGCTAATGCTGGTCACAACACACCAACATTGTTTTGTGAAAATAAACACTCAGCTCAATCCTTCCAAGCTCGGTTCATTACCTGTCCTGCTTTCACCTGCCTGATGAAGTCATATTTGATGGTGATTTTTCCAAACCAAGGAGGAGTCTTGCATTCCAACACTGCAGAGACTTGTAAGAAGTGATATTCCACTTAGTCCCTGTCAATGGTGGATGAAATGACTGCTGAAGAATGCCCTGCCACCCCTCCAATCACTCACACTCGCATTGATACGTGCGACCCGCTCCTCCTCTTGAAATGYTGAAGCAAGTTGCAACCTGCAGGAAATACTCTCCTGTATTTGTAGAGTAAGACGTTATGAGACACTTGCTGCAACGGCGGACACTGAAACCTGATGGACGTGTTCTTATGTAGTCATTCTGCCGTGTTCGGACTGTTATTCAATTTAAAGTTTAGAGACCTAGCATTATCTGACAGAATGCATGACACACCAGAAATTTAAAGTAATGTTAARACTAGGGTGGGATGATATTGGCAAAACATTTAATGATTAATCATGGCATTTAGCCGAAAGAATTTAATAGATAATAATTATATTTGCATGTGTTTAATTCGAGATTCGTTACCCTGAGTTCTAAAATTATTTTTACAAATCATTAGTTGAGCTAATGTCTTCATTTTAACAGGGTAAAATGGTAAAATTTGATTTTAAACACTTTTTTTTCACCAGTGCAGGTTGGCAGCAGATCTTTCGTAACATAATGCGCCACACTTCCGTGTTTCCATTAACTATTGTTTTGTGCATTTTGAAGTATCACATTAGAAAAGTTGGATGGAAATGACAAAATTTGCAAAAACTTCCTCAATTTCGCAAAAAAAAAAAATGCTCCCTTGAGGTGGTTTTTGGAGTTTCCGTAAAAAATTAATGCGCAAAAAGGGAAACGGAAACACATTTAAGAATAAATTCTGATCGCATCACCAATACTACTTGATATAACAGAATAATTACATCTTTACCGAAAGTAGCAACACGTTCCTGATGACTTCTGTGTCCCTGTGAGTTTGTGAYTTCACTTCCTATTTACAGCCRTGCGTAACGTCAACGTCTGATGTAATTACACGTGGCGTAGCCTGGCTGATTCGCTCCAAGCCAGTTGATGGAAACACGTCTGATGTGCATTAAAAAAATCCACATTAAAATTGGATGGAAACACAGTGAGAGTTCACTGTACACAAATATATGTTACATCAATTACATTTATTTAAGTAACTTTTTGAAAAAAAAACTTTTAGGAGTAGTTTCATACATTTTACTTTACGTGAGTAATGCATAATGAGGTATTTCTAAATTTGACTTGGAAATTTTTTTTATTTCACTGGAATTTATTTTGTAACTATGCCGTTTATTTGTACTAACTTTATTTATTTTAATCATTAAAAACACCAGACATGTCTTTCCATTTTTTGTGTGACATCATTTTAAAATTTAATTATTTAAATTTGGAGGTTGCGAGGCTGTTTATGAATATGTAGAGAGGAAAATGTTTGGTTTTCATTGTATCTGATTATTAC